TTTATACGTTATTTGATATATATATATACAAATATTTAAGTAAATGCTCTGTTTATAATACACAGTGTTAACAACATTAAAGCCGTAAATGTAGCTATTACTGTTTATTATAAACAGAGTATTTACTTAAATATTTGTATCTAAAATTAACCTATAAACAGAAAATATATTAAAATAATTGTCGGGCTTCGCCCATTTTATAATATATGATGTCATTTGTTTACGTTAAAATACGGTTCGAGGAGGCACGGTGGAGTAGTGGATAGCGGCTCGGATTGAGGAATCAGAGAGTTCTAGAAACATGCACGATGGTATTTAGAAGTACAAATCATCGTTTTTTATGATTATATATACTGAAAGTGGAGGCACAGTGAAGTAATGGATAGCGGCCCGGATTGAGGAATTGGAGAGCCGAGTTCGAATTCCAGTCAAATTCATTATATTCACTTACATGCTAATACCCTTGGGAAAGGTATTAATTCTCTTCTTCTCTCCCAACTCAGCTATGGGTAAATAGCAGGACAGACTGGGTTCTATAGCCTTAGAGAAGGATGACTCTAAATTCAAAACTAGCGGAACCTCATTTTGGGACCTTATGGCATATAGTACACCAGTTCTCTGCATTCGGCACTTCCAAAATTATGGTTGATTATGCACAAAGCCTTCATCACTATAATCAAATCATTTGTGTTGGTGTCTGGGCTGTCGGTTACTCGGAACTGAGCTACTTGAATACGACGGGACAGTCTACTATATAGGATATTAAAAGTATATATATATATATACCCAAGTATATAATTGGTGTATACGGAATGAATTCCAATAACCAACAATTACTATTCTTAAAAGAGTGCTCAATACAAAGTAGAGCAGATGTAATTATTTATTTAAAAATATTTATAACATAAATATGTTATAAAATCACTACAAAAGTAGCTATTAAAAACTGCCAATTTTAAAATCCAAATTTAATCACTATTAAGTTTAAAACGTAATTTCAACGAAGAAATAAATTGAATAACATGTATTTCCCCTTTTCTCCTCAGTAATTTTATAATTTTAAAATTAATAGCGATTAAATTTGGATTTTAAAATTGGAAGTTTTTAATTTTAATATCAAATTTTATCATATAATTTAATAATTATTGGTTAGAATAAATTCATTTTTAATATTACCCGTATGTTAAAGATCTGAATAGCTATTATAACATGACTTCGTTGTCAAACTTTTTGAATTTTCCTATACTTGTATTTTGATTGGTCATTCTAGCTTTTGTAACAGCGTTTTCCCCTTGCGAAGGATCGTTAATTAATTTGAAACTTTTAAAACCATTTATTTTACACTCATCACTTGATAAGACACTGGGTGTGTTGAAACAAAATCACTATTTTTGTAGTGATTTTATAACATATTTATGTTATAATTTTTTAAAAAAATAAATATATATATATATATATATATATATATATATATATATATATATATATATAGGAACTAATGTATTTATTTTTAATCCGAAATTTTATTACTTCACTGCTGAAAATAAAAATGGGGTGTCTGTTACAATTACGTGTATGCATTTGAAAAAATATATATATATATATATATATATATATATATATATATATATAATACAGCTCATTCACATATGAAACGAGATGATCTATTCAAACCTAGCGAAACGTTATCCGTTTTCTAGATAAAAAAATCCACTTCTGAGCCTGGCGAATCACTTATAAACAGTTCTTTCAGCTATGGCACTATCTCCACAAATAGCACATAGCTTTTTTACTGTTTGCACGGCATTATTTCCTTTCTGGAAATAAAAGATCTTAGAGGTAAAATATTAATTATAGCAAAAAGAACGACCATAATTAAAAGCAGATAAAAAGGAAGAACAACTAAGGTTGTTCAATTCGAAAAAGGGGTAATAATAATAATAATAATAATAATAATAATAATAATAATAATAATTCTTTGCCAAAGACTACAGTGGGTGTTATGGTCCGGTTCCTTGTACCACGGTGATAATCCAAGGTAGAACCAATAAAGAAGAACTCGAACACGTATATGAAAATAAAACAGATATATTACAAACAGGAATATATACAGAGAAGTAGAAAGTGTCAGTACGAATAATCAGGTTTAGTAGTAATTGTCTGAACGCGATTTTGTTTCGGACTGCCTCTGACTCGACTGACTGACTCGCTCGCTCTGACTAACCGACAGACTCCTGACGGACTTCACTCCAGACTTCAGACTGAACGGTATTTAGTCACCCCCGCCCACGAGGGCATTATGTGGCACAAGGCCGGTTTAACGTGTGATCTCCGAGCCCGTGGGCTCGGCCGAAAATATGCCCTTTGAACCCGTATAAACGGGTTCAGGGTCGGTTTACCTCCCCGAAAGAGACTCCGCCCTTCGGCTTAGCGTCGTTCGGGTTCCTCCCCGGCCGAAGGCAGAGAGTTCAACCGATCAGCCGGTCAGCCGGTCGTCCGACTTCGGACTGAACTCCCTGCTTCCTCTTGAGGCACAGTATTTATTACGTATGGAAGAGTCCATTATGTTATTATGGGTAAGGTCCCATATCAATGGGTTAAAGGGTCTCTTCATGCTGTAAAATGTTTTAGTGAGGACATCAATCATTCAAAACTAATCTGTCGGACATCATGATCAAAGATCCCAAAAACAGAATGTGCTTTCTTATTGACATGGCAGTCCCTGCAGATTGTAATGAAGAAGAAGATGATGGTAAATAGGATGGGGAATTAGAAAATGAAGAAGATGAGGATAAAGAAGAAGGAAAAGGCAGAGGGAATAATAATAATAATAATAATAATAATAATAATAATAATAATGGGAAGAAGAAGATGATGGTGAATAGGATGGGAATTAGAAAATGAAGAAGATGAGGATAAAGAAGAAGGAAAAGGCAGAGGGAATAATAATAATAATAATAATAATAATAATAATAATAATAATAATGGGAAGAAGAAGATGATGGTGAATAGGATGAGAAGTAGAAAATGAAGAAGATGAGGATAAAGAAGAAGGAAAAGGCAGGGGGAATAATAATAATAATAATAATAATAATAATAATAATAATAATGGGAAGAAGAAGATGATGGTGAATAGGATGGAGAAGAAAATGAAGAAGATGAGGATAAAAAGAAGGAAAAGGCAGAGGGGAATAATAATAATAATAATAATAATAATAATAATAATAATAATAATGGGAAGAAGAAGATGATGGTGAATAGGATGGAGAAGTAGAAAATGAAGAAGATGAGGATAAAGAAGAAGGGAAAAGGCAGAGGAATAATAATAATAATAATAATAATAATAATAATAATAATAATAATAATGGGAAGAAGAAGATGATGGTGAATAGGATGGAGAAGTAGAAAATGAAGAAGATGAGGATAAAGAAGAAGGAAAAAGGCAGGGGAATAATAATAATAATAATAATAATAATAATAATAATAATAATAATGGGAAGAAGAAGATGATGGTGAATAGGATGGAGAAGTAGAAATGAAGAAGATGAGGATAAAGAAGAAGGAAAAGGCAGAGGGAATAATAATAATAATAATAATAATAATAATAATAATAATAATAATAATGGGAAGAAGAAGATGATGGTGAATAGGATGAGAAGTAGAAAATGAAGAAGATGAGGATAAAGAAGAAGGAAAAGGCAGAGGTGAATAATAATAATAATAATAATAATAATAATAATAATAATGGGAAGAAGAAGATGATGGTGAATAGGATGGGAAGTAAAAATGAAGAAGATGAGGATAAAGAAGAAGGAAAAAGGCAGAGGAATAATAATAATAATAATAATAATAATAATAATAATAATAATAATGGGAAGAAGAAGATGATGGTGAATAGGATGGAGAAGTAGAAAATGAAGAAGATGAGGATAAAGAAGAAGGAAAAGGCAGAGGAATAATAATAATAATAATAATAATAATAATAATAATAATAATAATAATGGGAAGAAGAAAAAAGATGATGGTGAATAGGATGGAGAAGTAGAAAATGAAGAAGATGAGGATAAAGAAGAAGGAAAAGGCAGAGGGGAATAATAATAATAATAATAATAATAATTATTATTATTATTATTATTATTATTATTATTATAAAAGAAAGAACAAAATGGGCTAACCGGTTATCGCTCCTCATTCTTCCGAACTCGGCCAAGGAAAGTAAAGATTTTGTGCACGGCTGACTAAAAATGAAACATGAAAAAAGAAATACCCGCGTGTGAATAATATATTGTGACAGGTATATTTTACATAAACAAATCGCATTCGGTGAAGAAAAGGGTGGCATATGACGTAAATGATTCTGATTTTTGTCCATTTACACTTTTAACTTGAAAAAAAAATATTTAAAATTAGCAATCCACATACGAATCGTATAGAAAGAAACGTCGAAATGTCACTTCCCAGAATCCGTCATAAATTTCAGTGACGTGTCAAACGAAATCACAGCACCCCTTGTGAAACGCTACGCACTTTTCTTCTAACCCAGTGTATTAATGTTTGTCTCCAGATTCTATCGTTTAGTCGCGATAACTCACATGAGATTAAAATGAAGAGAAAGAATTCTTGAAATCGGAATCTGAGAAAAAAAAATAGAGGAATTAAAATCGAATAATCTTTACTGCAGATTGGTTATTGATACGCCTGTAACGTGTCCTTGATAATTCAATTCTGTTTGTCTAAAGAAACCAAAATGTGTTTAATTGATAACTCGAGGAAAACCAGTATCGTAATTTCTGTTGCCGAGTAAAGCAGAACAGAAATGGAGAAATATAAAAGAAAAATAACCAACTCGGAAGAAATTCAGCTTGGAAATGCTGGAAAAAAAAAATCGTAGAATCTGCTGATGACGATGGAATTTCTTTTGGAATTATGTTCCATTGTACTATCTTTAAAGAAAATGCCAACAGACTTTTGCTTCTAACTTTTTTTTCAGGAATTCTGTCATGCTTGTCTCTTTTATTTTTTTATTTTCCTTCATAAATTTGTTTTTTTCGTATTCTTTGCTTACACATTCTTTTTTTGGGTGGGAGGGGCTTTCTTTCTTTCACTCTATTGGATTCTTCTATATCTCTGTTTTTCTCATCCCTTTCTTCGCCTCTCTCTTTATCAACGTTTCGCTCCATTTCATTCTTTTCTCTTGTACGTTTCTTTCTTTTTTATTTACTCTCTCTTCCTTGGCTTCTAAATTTTATTCTATCTATCTTTTTATCGCCTTTTTTTTATCTCATTTTTGGTTTTTCTCTCCTTTTCATTTTCTCACGTCTTTTTCTTTCACCTCTATTTCTCTTTATTTATTTCGTCCTTTCTTTCTTTCTTTTTGCTCACTTTCCACTTCTCTTATTTTTTTACTTACTCTTTCTCTTTTTTGCTTTCTTCTGACTCTCCTCATATCGTTGTTTTTCTCTTTTCATTTAATTTTTTTCCCTTTTTCTCTTGACTTTTCACTTTCTTTCTTTCTCTTTTATTTTTTCTTCTTTCATTTATTTTTTTCTTTCTTTAGTTTCTTTTACCACTTCCTTTTCATTCTTTTTTTTCTTTTTCTCTCCATTTCGTTGTTTTTACTCATGTTTTCTTTCTTTCTTCCTTTTTTCTTTCTTTCTTTCTTTCCCTTTCGTTTTTTTCTTTTTTCTCTTTGACGGACTTTATCTTTGTTTCATTCATTTTTTTTCCTTTTTCTCTCCTTTCGTTGTTTTTACTCATTTTTTCTTTCTTTCTTCCTTTTTTCTTTCTTTCTTTGTTTCCCCCGTCTTCGTGTTTTTTTTTTCTCTTTGACGGATTTTATCTTTCTTTCATTCTTTTTTCTCGGGTCTTTTTACTTCCTTTGTTTCTTCCTTTTCTTCGTTTCCTTCTTTTTTGTTTAAATAATTCTTTTTTTCTATTGAACTCTCTCGTTTGCTTTTTGTCTTTCTTTCTTTCTTTCTTTCTTTCTTTCTTTCATCCTCCTTCCTTTTTAGCTCCTTTTCTATTTCTATTATTGTTTATATCTACTTTTTTCTCTTTCCCTTTCTTCTTGTGTATTTCTCCTTTCCTCTCTCTCTCTCTCTCTCTCCCTCTCTCTCACTTTCCCTCAATTCTTTACTTCTCTTTTTTCGTTATAATTTCTTTTCGATCTCCTCTCTTTATTTCTTCTACGTTTCTTTCTATTCTATAACTGTTGTCTCTCCATCCTTTTCTTTTCTCTCATCTTTTTCTTTCTTTCATTCTTTCTTTTCTTCTTTCTTTCGTTCTTTCTTTTTTTCTTTCTTTCTGTCGTCCTTCCTCTCTTTCTTTCTTTCTTTCTTTCTGTCGTCCTTCCTCTCTTTCTTACTTTCTTTCTTTTTTTTCCCCCTCTTCGTTTTTTCCCTTTGACAGATTCTGTTTTTGCTTCATTCTTTTTTCAGATCTTTTACATTTTTTTTTAGTTTCTTCCTTTCCTCCGTTTTCTTTTTCTTTGCTTAATTTTTTTCTCCATTGAACACTCTCTTTTGCGCTCTCACTCACTCTCTCTCTCTCTCTCTCTCTCTCTCTCTCTCTTTATTTATTTATTTCGTCCTTTCTTTCTTTCTTTGTTCCTTTTTACTCACTTTCCATTTCACTTTTTTTATTTCTACTTTCTCTTCCTCTTTCTTCTTGTGCCACTCTCTTTCTCTCTCTCACTCTCTCACTCTCTCTCGCACTTCCCCTCATTATTTTTACTTCCATTTTTTCTTTGTTATCTTTTCTTTTCGATGTCCCCTCTTTATATATTTCTTTGTTTCTCTCTATTCTATTACTTGTGTCGCTCCAGTTTTTTCTTCCTTTTTTTTTCTCTTTTTCTTTCTTTCTTGCTCACGTTCTTTCTTCTTCCTCTCAGTTTTATTTTCTTCCTTCGACCGATTCTGCTCTTGCCTGATTCTTTCTTTCAAGTCTTTTTTCTTTGTTTATTTTTTTCTTTTGCACCGTTTTCATTTTTAAATAAATCTTTCTCTCCCTCTCTCTCTCTCTTTTCATTTCTCTCTCTCTCTCTCTCTTTCTCTCTCTCTATCTCTCTTTTCCTTTCTCTCTCTCTCTTTCTCTCTCTCTATCTCTCTTCTCCTCTCTCTGTCTCTCTCTCTGTGTCTCTCTCTCTTTTCCTTTCTCTCTCTCTGTCTCTCTCTCTTTTCCTTTCTCTCTCTCTCTCTGTCTCTCTCTGTCTCTCTCTCTCTGTCTTTCTCTCTGTCTCTCTCTGTCTCTCTCTCTTTTCCTTTCTCTCTCTCTTTCTCTCTCTCTCTCCCTCTCTCTCTGCATCTCTCGCTTTTCCTTTCTCTCTTTCCTTTCTCTCTCTCTTTCTCTCTCTCTCTCTCTGCATCTCTCTCTTTTCCTTTATCTCTTTTCCTTTCTCTCTCTCTCTCTCTGTCTCTCTCTCTTTACCTTTCTCTTTCTCTCTCTCTCTGTCTCTCTCTCTGTGTCTCTCTCTCTGTGTCTCTCTCTCTTTCTCTCTCTCTTTCTCTCTCTCTCTCTTTTCCTTTCTCTCTTTTCCTTTCTCTCTCTCTCTCTGTGTCTCTCTCTCTTTTCCTTTCTCTTTCTCTCTCTCTCTCTGTGTCTTTCTCTCTGTATCTCTCTCTCTTCTCCTTTCTCTCTCTCTTTCTCTCTCTCTTTTCCTTTCTGTCTCTCTTTTCCTCTCTCTCTCTTTTCCTTTCTCTCCCTCTTTTCCTTTCTCTCTCTTTCTTTTTCTTTCTCTCTCTCTCTGTGTCTCTTTGTCTCTCTTTTCCTTTCTCTCTCTCTTTCTTTCTTCCCTTTAACTTATTTCCCCATTTCACTTATTCTTTATTTCCACTTCCTCTTCCCCTTTTCGTTTTTTCTCTCACACGTTTTTTTTTTCTTTCTTATCTATTCTTTTAGATATTCCTCTTTTTCTTTCTTTGTTTCTTTCGATTCTATCACTTTTGTGTCTCCATCTTTTTTTGTTCGTTTTTTTTTTTTTTTTGCCTTTTTTTTTTTTTTTTTGTCTCTGTCACTTTTTGTCCTTTTCGGTCTTTTCTTTTGACATTTTTGTTTCTTGCTTTCTTTCTTTCTTTTCGTTTTTCTTTCTTTCGTTTTCTTTTTCTTGTTGCTTTTTTTATTCACTTTTTTTACGCTTGATATTTCTATCTTTTATTAACCATTTTCTTCTTCGTTTTCCTTCTTTCCTCGCTTCTTCTTTTCATTCTTCTCCCTCTCTTAATTTTCCTTCTTACATTTATCGTCTTTCTCCTTCCATTTCTTTTCTTTTCTTTTTTTTATCTTTCGTCTGTCTTTTTCAATTGTATTCTTCTCTACTTACTTTTTTTCGCTCGTTTCCATTCACCCCCTTCCCTTCCTGCTTACTTTCGTATTTCTTCCTTTATTTGTCCTTCTTTTTATTCATTCATTTTTTCTTTCTTTCCTTTTTTTTATTATAGAAGATGCTAAGTGTTCGATGAATTGTTGAAAAACGATGTGATCTCTGCAATCGCCAGGTACTCACAACGCCAATCTATTCAATCTGAAAGATCGGAAAGTGGCCAAGGTTTCTATTACAAAAGTCTTCGATTTCTGCCAATCTGTCTCGGAAGCCGGCAGTTAGGTTCTACATTTGTTTCGTTACTCTTTTTCTTTTCGACTTCTTCCCTCCCCCAACCCCGTTTATAGGTCGGCGTCACTCCGGATTATTGCCAAACCACTTCGTTTTCTTTATATATATATATATATATATATATATATATATATATATGTATGTCTTTTTTATTATATTTTATTCTTCAGTCTGAGAAATATGAAGTTGGTAAAATAATGCACATTTGGAGGTGTTCAGTGTCGGAATACAAATAAAAAGTGGGCGTCTGTTTTATGTAATTAATGATTAAGATGTTCTTTATAACACGTACTTATAGGTATCCGTGCCAACAACGATAGTTCTAAGTTAGTTCAGTAGTAAAGCGTTGAACCGGAACTTACAAGTTAGGATCACTCACTTGCCGGAACTAAAGAAGAACAGTTCATACATATATATATATATATATATATAATATATATATATATATATATATGTCTCTCTCGTTCTCTCTCGTTCTTTTCATATCTTTCTTTTCAAATCCATCTTTTTACGCTCATATCCATTTTTGTTCATATATCAATCTTTCTAGTTAGCAAGATCGTCTCGATATAACAAATACGACTGAGTAATGAGTTCGATCCTCACTGAGTGCCCTAAACTATGCCTTGTGTTACATCTAAGGAAGCAGACAGTAGAAATTTATGGGTCACATAATAAGGAAAGAAGGTTTGGAAGATTTGATGTTCTCAGGACAGATTGAAGGCGTTGTGGCCTGTTTAGGGACCAGAAAGAAAGACACGGAAGACGAAGGTAGGTTGAACAAGTGTATTGAAATAATATATATATATACAAATCAAGAGTGTTAGTAATAAACAGATAGAGGTGTACGGCCGGACGGTAGGTTAACACTGCGTCTCCGCTATATTTAACAGACGCCCCACCACGAGGCGACACACATACACAAACACAGACACACACACACACACACACACACATATATATATATATATATATATATATATATATATATATATATATATACACACACATATATAAATATATATATATATATATATATATATATATATATAAAATATATTCATTTTATATAACACTTTGCTGCTACAAACTTTTAACAATTTTTTTGTTATACTCGTAGTTCACTTTATTTTTGGTCGCAATTCTCTTATATAAATGGCTTCCAGAACTTTCTTACTATTATCTTGATGGAGCACTGACATATTTTGACTAATATCTATCTAAACTGTGAATGTGGACATGAGTGTTCCTTTAAATGTTCTGAGATTGAACTATGATCATTCAAGTGAAACGTAAGCCTTATCGTCATCGTTGTTGTTGTAAAACCAATATACGTATTAACATTTTTTTATCAGAGATGCAATCTCCCAAAGGACATTTAAATTGATATACGATGATGGTCTTTTGTAAGACACTAGCTGATGGAGAACAGTTGTTATGGATGACGAGGTTGGTTGTATTAAATTAGTATTATAATCAATTTTATATTTTACTTGGATCAATGGGGGATATTCTAGTGCTTATGAGTATTTGTAGATTTCTTTCCTCCTTCTAATAAACAGAATGCATTTGATTACAGTGTAGTAGTCTGATATGTTTAGAGTTATTTGAGGACGTATTATTTTTCATTTTTATTTATGTTAATATTTGTAGACGTGAAAGCGTTAAAACTAAAATATATAGACAACCAAACATGCTTGAATGAAAATATGCTGCCTAAATATACATAAACGCCCGCACACACACACACACACACACACACACACACACACATACACAAACACACACACACATATATATATATTTGTCTTTGTTCATCTGAAAAAACTAGTTGTTCTAAGAAACTTAGACAAACCTAAATTATTGAACCAGAGGAGTGAATTAATAACCACTTGCAGGCACAAAAATAAACATCTCCATAAATACGCTACATTATATTAGCTCTTAAACCTTCATTAATTCTTTTTTACATTTTTCTTCCGTTTTCTAGTATACTAGCAGCATGGCCCTGCGTTGCCCGTGCTTGATTCAAAATCGTATGACTCATACAGCAATCGCTATCACTTGATTTAAAATATTTTTGCCCTTCCTTGCCTTTGAAGGAGTGCCCTTTGCCGTGCTGATGTTGCTACATGCCTTACTTCTTGCCTATCTCACACTGCAAATTTTTTCTAAGCTCTATACTAAACATTAAATCTGTTACGAAAAAAGAACTAAACAAAATGAACACAAAACGATCAGCTTAAAAAAAAAGACTCGTAACTGGAAAAACCGAATGAAAAAGAATGTTAACAACAAATACTTTTTTACACTTAACCCAGTTCTGCGGAATCAGAATCAACGTTGAGTTTAAGCAAGCGAATGAGCCAACTGGTGTAAAGTGCCATGCAGATTTAAATTTTTCCCACTTGTGACGAATGAAGCTGTCGATTTTTTTTTTTTTTTTTGCATGCTAGCATGCTAGTTAACATTCGTGTCAGTCAGCTGTTGGGTCTCACGTTGGCCAATAGAATCTTCCTGCCTATTCGTGGCAGCCAGCTATAGGCTCTCACTCTGGCCACTAGAAAATAGCCGCAAACTACATGAAAATTGCCGTAGAAGCATGAAAACATCGATTATTTCCACTATCGATGGGAGTTGTGAAATGCAAAGTCGGTCTTGGCCTTCCCGCTAACTTGGAGCATGTACATGTAAATTTTGGTGCAAATCCGTCGAAAATTGCAGCCGACCATTCGTTACACACACACATACACACCTCCTGCTTTTTATAGATAGAGATTATATATCACTTTTTTCTTACGTTTGTTTCTTGGTCATTTTTATAACACCCTTTGACCATTACTTTTTCTCCTCCCCTCTGTTTTCCTCCCCTCTATTTTCTTTATCCATTTTACCTTACTTTAATTTTAAAACTACAATCTTCTCCCCTTTCTTTTCTAGAATTTACTTTTGTTAATTTTCCTTTTTTCAAGGATCATTATTAAAAATCTGCAATATCATGTATCGCCACATCATGTATCACGTCGTGATAGCTAACTACATTTTGACTAAAACCGTAAAACAGTCAGTCTGAGTTCAGCCCCGAAAATTGCGTCGTGCATGAAACTCAGAGTCGTACTAGAGGTGTGAGATAGTATGCATATTTATTAATATATGGCGTATATATATATATATATATATATATATAAGTTTTTCGTGGTACAGAATTTAATAATAGATAGGAAAAGACAATATTTATAAGGCATTTTTAAAAAGCAAAAGCTAAAATAAAAACAACCGGTTTCGTCCCAGGACTTATCAAGTTTATTTATTGTGGGAATTTTAAAAAGCGTGTAAATTAATTTTTAATATATGAATGTAACCGAATGGGGAAAAAATTATGAATTTCATAAAACTATATTCAGACCCCACAAAAAATTAAAAATCTTTTCAAAAAAAATTTTTTTTAATCTTTTTAAAAATTCCATACGTTATCTCCCTTCCATAGACGTAAAAAATATTTTGAATTTACGTAAATTTTGTAACACATTCATAGATATGCATCCCCTGAAGATGGTCACAGATGAGATTGAAAGTACCTGGGAAAATAAGAATTATTTGAAAGAAAATTTTGGAATTTTTCTCTCAAGAAATGAATTCGTGGACTTGATAGAATTAATACTAAAATAAATAGACATAATACGCCTAAATTATTTAAGCAAATATCCTAGAAGACACACACATACATATATATATATATATATATATATATATATATATATATATATATATATATATAGCTATCCCTGACGATCCGCTTAGGTGAAACCTGGGTAGGTTTTTCTGGCTCACTAGGTTTATCTAGGTCTGCTCTACGGTTGTATTGAGCACTTTTGTTAGTTGTTTACTCGTGTCGGGGTTTTTTCTTTGGGCTTCAAACCTGTATCTGTGCGATTTTTTTCGACAGACTTTCATGTTTGTAGCTCTTTCTTTTTTTAAAACCTTTTTTTCCCTCGAGATTGATTTGATTATTAGCAAATCAAAAATTCGAAGGTTTTTCGAAACGAGTATAGTTACCTATATTTATATTTATCTATATGTATATATATTAATCAAGTTCACCCCAAGCAAGGCAGTAAAGCCACTGAGACAAAGGGGTTACTGGGTGCGGAAGAGTCAGAAAGAGAAACATTGCTGGGGGAAAGGTAA